ATTGCAGGTGGCTCTGCAACGGCACGACGGAGCCTCCTCGCTCTGCAAACCACAGCGGTTAGACTTCGCCACAAACAGCATGACTGACCTGCACCTGATCGATAAACCCATCTATCTGGTTCATGGTTATAGGTATGGGTATGAGTATGGGTAGGAGATATATGGACTGAAGCCTTTTTTCAGTCGTCAACCTCTACGGGCTCGGCCCACTCGTGGCAGTAGTGAACCCCTCGCTATCTTGCCTGGTGTTGGAGGGGTGTTTCCGGATATATGCCCGGAAGCCCTGGAACATATCGGTTCCTGCTTCAGTTAAACTCATGATAGGTTTTGGCCTCGGTTGGCCGTTTCCTTCAAAGCCGCAACAACAACGCTGTTTGCATTGCGACATGCCACGAGGCTCCTCTCGACCATCTTGTTGTAGATAGCCATGTCCGCACCAGGTAGTTGTCCCTTGAACCATATATTGGTGACTTCGTCCCGAGTGGGCAGGTACGCAACGCAACAGGCTGCGAGAACATTCTGGTAGTCGGCGACGGCAGGGTCGAATATAATCGAAGGCTGCGACTTGCTGCCTTTAGTCACTAATGCTGCTACTCCCCCAGCGACGGTGTCGACGCAATCGATGCCAGCGTCTGCAATGGCCGCCGAGGCGACGGTGATGCAGCCGCTCAAGACGTTCATCATATCCCAGCTCTCGTCTTTCTGATACTCTGGCGAGTCCCGGTTCTGGTCCCCCTCGATGACGGTGACAATGATGTCGACACCACTCTTAGGCCAACGGTCTGCGATGATGGCCCCGCGCAACGCGGTCTCTAGGTGCACACCAAGATCCCGCTCGCTCGAGTCGCGTAGATAGCCTCGCCTCTGCTTCGTCGCAAACGGCGCATATTTGACATGGGTCGTGAGGATGATGTGGGGTGAGAACGGCGCTGATCGTGGTAAGGCTCGCGGGCCGTGGACAGTACATGTGAGCTTCAAGCTGGTGTTCGAGGGGCCAGTCGCGTGAGGATTCTCGAGCTCGAGGTAAGCCGACCCGGAAGCCGAAGGGGTAACTCCCGTCTTCAAGACTATGTAGAATACCGGTTAGCATTTGTTTGTATAGGCAGGCAATTGCTAGGTCGGTAGCCCGCCCGTTGTATTGTAACTTACAAATCTTCCGTATGACGTTGTCAGATGCTCCCCTTGCCAGCGGAAGAACAGGCGGACTGTCGTAAACAGGAGGTGCCGTAGCGCCAATTGGCCCATTGATGCGTCTCCGATCAGCCATGACTCCGAGGTTTCAGTGTCAACGGCTTAGACACCGTGAAGCTTGATCAGTTCCTATGGTGGGACGTGGAGGGAATCAAAGCTGTGCTGCATCTATTGGATCCTTGGATTCAAAAAGTCAAAAGCCCCACCAAGCAGCTAGGTCCTACTATTACAGGTAGAGCACCTTTGGTACGGTAGTTAGCCTGGTTAGCCCGCTATATGATGGCTAAGCTCCTGTGCGGACCCACTTAAAAACTACCTACAAAGCTGAAAATTTTTGGTCGTCCTCTGCTTTTCTCCCCTTCTCAACTTCCGCAGTCACCACAACACAAGAGAAACTGTCCTCGACGGCAACTCTTTGTGCAGCGCCGCCTTGGAGTCGCGGCCATGATGAACGTTTCCTAATGCTCTAAGAGCTGGGTTGCAATCGGCTATATTAGCTGATTACGGCGCGGCTACAGATATGCGCAGTATGAATATGGCTGTATGGATGTGGTCACCTTCGTTGCACGTCGGGCGTTATACGCATCTATGATTGACGAGGTAAGTTCGCAAGCCCCCATTCCCTGCCCTGGAAATCGATATCCCTTGTACGCCATATCGCTATTGATGAACCCAATACCACTGTTCCTCGCGACTACCTGAGCGCCAGAACAACATGCACTACCATCTGAAGCACGACCTCAACCTCGGCGTTATCAACTCCTTCCCAGAAGTCACACTGACAATTCCTATCAGTAGCTTTCGATCCGCTTCTACTAATCCAACGCTGTCGCCTCCAGCCAAATACCAATGAGTGAGTTACCCCACGTGTACAGCACCTTTCATTCTACCTTTTACATGATGAGAAACTTTATTTTCAGTTCTGCTTCTGAACCAGATGAAGATACCCCATACCAATAGTCTACTCTCTGAATCATAACGTGAATCACTTCTGTGTCTGAAATCTACCATGCCATGAGATCAGTTCACTAACAGTTTACAGAACATAGCAGTCGTTTTCAACCATATGCCCGGTCAATGTCAGAATGTAAGCCATATTTGCCTTTTCGTCAACGGCTCCCTCTATCATGATGAAAACAGTTTATCCATTCAACTATCTCACGTTGAGTCGAGCCACCCTCCCGCACCGGAGCAACTCCTTGGATTTGTGATGATCGGTTGTGGAGTTATCACTTGACGGTTGCGGCTTTGCGCCACAGTTGGACGGCGGTGTTATGTTGGCTTCAGTTGTCTTTCAGTTCTATGTTTCGTCTTGAGATATAGTTCTGGAAGGCCGGCTCTTGTGAATGAGTAAATCGGTTATCTGAATGTTACATATCTATATTGCATGATTCTTTGAACCACCCAGTTTGGCTCTTGCTAACACGGGTTCATCAGGATCTCCTTTGAGTAAAGTTGAAAGTCATTCGCAATGCGGTAAGACTTCTATTAGGTAGGTTCAGTAGAGGGACGTCGACCTGTCGTGCCTTGTCATACAGTTTAAGCTCAAGTTTTCGACCTGGTTCTAGGTAGTCAAGACTACCAAATAGATTCATTTCGTATTCTAATTCAATACATATTATCCATCGTGGATCCGCACATCTATTTATGATGTCTTCTTGTGCATGATGAGAGCACTGGCCTGGTGGTTAGGGAAAACAAGTGTGTCGGCAACGACGACGTTCTCCCGTCTGGTAGCGGCGAAGACAACAACCTCCGCAATATCGTCAGGGGTCAATGGTTCGCAACCCCTGGAGCCATCATTAGCAAATGAACATAATATCTAGTCAGCTCATGCGAAGAGAGTTCCTTACTCGTAGACCTTATCAGCCTTGGCTTTATCGCCATAGAATCGCACAACGGAGAATTCCTACTCGAATGATGTCGCCATCGGTCAGTCAGGGGGTCCTGTTTTCGTTCTCATCTTCTCCTCCCACCCACACTAGACGAGCAGGCCATGAAGTCGTGAGGGGGTGCAGGGGACAAAAGCTCGAAAGCGCCTTAAAACTCAATCAATCAATGACTCACCGTCTCGACCTGGCCCGGGTCGATCTCGATGACGCGGACGCGGGTGGCGATGAGCTCCTTGCGCAGCGAGTCGGTGAAGCTGCGGACGGCGGCCTTGGTGGCGCAGTAGATGCCGCCGCCGGGGTATGGCTCGCGGCCGGCGATGCTGCCGACGTTGATGATGTCGCCGGCGCCGCCGTTGGGGCGCGCCAGGAGGATGGGCAGCACCGCCTGCGTCATGTTGATCAGGCCCGTCACGTTCGTCGCGAACATCACGTCCGTGTCGGCCTCGGCGATCTCGGGCGCCCGCGCCACGCCCTTGACTAGGCCGCTGTAGATGGGTGTTGTTGTGCGTTAGCTTTCTCTACTTCACTGGCTGACGCTTCTGACTGCACTGCACTGCCTGCCACTTTCCTGCTCGTGCCAATACCCATACTGTCTGCAACGTAGCGTAGCACAACATAAGATAGTATATCGTACCCTCGCCTCGCCCCAAGAATCAAAATCAAGAAGAAAAGGGGATGCCGGGAGCGGGGACGAATACAAGAGAGAGAGAGAGAGAGAGAGAAATAGAGGAGAAACAGGAGAACTCACGCATTATTCACCAGCACGTGGATGTCGCGCCACTCCTCGGGCAGGGAGCCGACGAAGCCGCGCACCTCGTCGGGCTTGCTGACGTCGAGGCGGACGGGCAGGACGGCGACGCCGTCGCCGACCTCGGCGGCGATGTCGGCGGCGACCTGCTTCAGGGTGTCGGCGCGGCGCGCCGTCAGCACCAGCCGCAGCCCGTGCTGCGGCGCCGCCCGCGCGAACTCGAACGCCGTCGACCGCCCGATCCCCGACGACGCCCCCGTGATCACCACCGTCTTGCCCGCGAGGCGCTTGGCGGCTGCTGCTGTGGACATGTTGCCGGTGTTGGTTTTGAGGGCCTGGAGCGGGAGGGACGGTATAATAGGGGCCGCGAAGCGGTTTCGCGAGAGGATGTGGGATTGGTGTCGTGCTGTTCGGTAGGCTGTGCGTAGGAGGAGGTGTCCTGGGCGCATGTGCACGAGCGGGGAGACCGAATGGTATAACAGTTGACAGAAGGTAGGACTACGGGAGGAGAAGAAGGCTAGCTGCTGCTGCTTGATACTATTTATCTATTTATTGATCTATCTGAGGGGTCCAATGCAGGCAGATATTAATTCACATCGGCTTCGTTAGCAGATGGCACCTTAGGTAGCTTATGCATGGCAGCAACGGCATCATGCCGGTGTAGGCTTGTCTGTCACGTCATCTCTTTAACGCAGAAATTCATTCCTGATAGCATCTCCAAAACCCCGCCTGCCCCGCCATTCGCGACTCGGCTGCCTCGGTCGGCCCTGATATCGGAGGGGACCACCGAAATGCAACCTTCTAAGGGTTTCGAGGTGAACGATTATACTGAGGGGTGGCCGTCGTCCGTATAGTATCTGTACGTATGCCTAAGTAAGCTAGGTAGGTAGGTAATACGTTCTGTGCATTAACTGTACTGATTCGATGAATAGTTCCAGGTATTAGATGAAGAACCCGCGGAAATAGCCCATTATTTAACGAGGCTCTATTTAACAAGCGCTTTGCCCCTCTATTAAATGACCACCAAGCTGCTAGCCTGCCGCAAAGCAATGTCGGCCCGACGCAGTCAAAGGTGGATAGAGGTAGGTAGGCTATACTATAGATACCGATAACACAAAATTCATTCGCTCTCGAATTCGGCGTACAGTCGCTTGAAGCAATTTCAAAGCGGTCCCGTAGTGTAGTGGTTAGCACGTAGGATTTTGACAACTCCTCCGAGCCTCTTGGAATTCCTGAGACGCGAGTTCAATTCTCGCCGGGACCTTCTTCGTGAAGGGACAGCGCCAACGTTGTTCATTTTTTGTTTTGTTTTTGTTTTTTTGTCGGTCTCAATTTTATCTTCCTTTCTGTCTATTATCCTTTCTTTTCTTCATTTCTTCAATGCCGCTTCGATGAATTCCCCTTTTTGCCCAAGCTGACACGTAGACAAGCTATGTAAATGCATGGGGATATGAGTGATTTGAATCGTTCATCCGTATATAATATATAATAAACGCTGTTCCTGTACAGAAGCCCTTTGAGCTAAATAGGAGCTAATACTCAAAAACAATACTCGGCAAGAAGGTTTATCACCACATTTCTACTCTGATCGTCACGGCTATTGCTTCTGCTACACATCCTGCATTGACCTCTATGGACAATTCACTTGATTGGAAGTCTCCTCGTCTTTGAGTCGTGACTATCAGGTGACAGGATGGAGCCGAAATGTTGGGAGTGGTTCCATGTACCTCTCGTCTAGTTCCTGAGATGCTTACTCGTGCCCTCCTCCCCCCCTTCTTGAATTGCTTCGTGATACTTCGATAGCAACTGTAAAGAAGTATCTCGAATTTTATCTATGTAAAACTCCCAGAGTTTGCTAGATATTTAGTGTTCCCAGTTGCCCTGAATCTTGATTCCACCAATTCGTGTCTAGCCCCTCTGCCCCTCAACTACGACCATAACCCTATCTCTGCCACCTCCACCACCGTTATCACCAACACCACAAGCTACCCCCGAATCTCACCAAACCACCCCGCCAGCGTCGCGATCTTGATCGCCAAAGTAGTGATGGGGTAGCTAGCGAGGTTCCAGACCTCGGGGCCCCAGCCGCTCGTGTCGAGGGCCGCGGCCCAGCCGCGGCCCCGCGGGTCCGACCGCGCGATCGTCCAGAACAGGCCGCCCCAGTGCGTGAGGTCGGCGAGCGCCAGGACGGCGATGTGCAGCTGCAGCTGCCGCCTGTTGGGCGGCGACGACTGCAGGACCACGAGCCCGTACAGCAGCGTCGTGAGCAGGAACTGCATCGCGACCGAGGGCGCGTTGAGCGCTGGGATTGCTAGGGCGGTCGTCGCGGCGGCGCCGGACTCGGATTTGGACTGCTGCGCGGAAGAGAGCGCGAAGATGGACGCGGCTTGGCTGTAGTAGGTGTATATTCCGTAGGATCTGAGGAGAAGAGTGGGGGACGGAAGAGTAGGGGGGTCTATGTCAGCGGTGGGCGATAGGGTAGGGAGGTGGGTAGGTAGGTTGATTTACTATTTGGGCGGGGGATGAAGGGATACTACACATACATCGCGACTGGCTCTAGGTAGAGGAAGAAGATCCTCGGGAATGTGGGGAGCAGTGATGCCGTGGTTGCTGACATTGTGAATGATGAGAGGATGGGTGGGATTCGTGCTAATTCTACGAGTCGGAGAGGTGGGAGTTGCTACTGTATTGCAATCCGCAAGTAGGCCGGTAGGTAATGGAAGAAAGATATGAACAGTCTCTCTTGATTTCTAGATGGGGGACGTTTGGCCCCTTTATGCTATCTGTGCCATCCCTTACATGAATGCGGGGACCAGCTCAACGACGCGATGGACGCTGAGGTTATCACGAAACAAACGCGGCCTCAGGTGACGCCCGTTTGGATCTCCCTGCCAAAGTACGGAGCTCGGTATTCTCGGACGTCCGAGATGCACGAGGTGCGCCGCGCTTGCGGAGCATTGGACGGCACGATATGTGGGGTCAGATATTCACCAACGGCATGTTCCGTATGGGAGATGTAGACGGATTCATGCATGCACCTTTCGTGTGTTGGTACTGAGTGGGTTGATTATTTCTAGCTACACCGGTTGACTCATTCCTGGCTCGACTCGCTTAGTATCGCGAAGGGGTTGATGGACGGTGATCTTTTTGCGGCTCCTTGGCTGTTTCTCCCTGGCGTGTCGTGGACCTGCTTCCTTTTCTTTTGCTTCGACTTCGTATATTTCATAGTAAGCTTATCCAGGTATATCCTCGGAATCCCCAGAATGTCGGTCACTTTCGACAGTATATCGCCGGACAAAGCAGAGGATAGTATGTCTGGCATATCTTCGACCGTTGGCCATGCCACAATAGGGGGAAGCGAGGAAATAGATTCGTGGAGCTCTCGGAAGGGCCGTGGGGTATTTCTCCCGAGAGCAAGGACAGCATCTAGAATCTGCTTCAATAGTCTTAACGAATAGTAAGTGGCCTGGACCTGAGCTGTGTAGTGTATGAGGTCTAGCGAATACACGTATGCGCTAGCAACGGGGACATTGGCTTGACTGAGTAGTATAGCTGATAAGGAGGTTTGGTCCTCGTCTACCGAGTTTTCGACATCTTTAAGCATTGCTAATGCAAACCACACATTGTTGGGAGGTGGGATGCCTTTTTGAAGCCTCTTCAGTGTATTTGTTAGCTCTACACACGCATCCAGAGTTTCGACTGGCCCTGGAATATCGACCTGACGTCCACTGCGACCGCTAGAGGTATCCAAGGTCCTATACTCGATAATCTGCTTGGATCTGTGAGACGATAGTGTCTGCAGTATGCCATAGGCAGTTTGGCGAATCCAAGTACTTGTTGTCCAACAGCTTCGTATATCTCGATTCTCTATCATGACCGGTAGAAATATTGAGAGCTTCTCTGGTCCTCGGGCAGTCTCTACGTCTGGTACCAGACCTGCGTCTGTCATGACCAAAGTCTGAACCACGACCTCTGAAATTCTTGGGTCTAAAGAGATAGAATCAAGGGCTATGCGATCGTCCATGATAGAAGTGTCTATCTCATACTCCTTCAGAAAATCCAGATAATCGGGTGATGTGAGAACTCTTGTCGATTTCTTTTTCGCTTTTTCGACAGCTTCCTCAAACGTTATCCGGCCATGGATCTGGTCGAAGACGACACGTGGCAGCCCGCCTACATCCTTGACACCGAGCTGGTTGTTGATGCCGTGGAAAGAATACGTATAAGCCGATAATGCCCGAGTTCCCAATGGACCTTTGTAGACCAGACCCCAAAAGAATGAGACTCGGCCGGCATGTCCGAGGTCTTGAATGAGGAGATCAGAGTCGCTAGTGAGCACTATGCCACCATTTTTGCGAACATCCTGCGCACAGTAAACATCGGCCTCGCCCGGGACCACTTGGATCAAGGACCCCCAATCTTTGCAACTCGCCAGGGCTTCGATTACGGCCGGGACCAGGAAAGGGGGCTTGGGTAACTTGTCAGCGGCGACTCTCCCAGTGAAGGTGGTTATCAGCACACTAGGCTTCACATGGTCGAATACACCGCTAGGAGACCTAGTCGCCCCGAACGGATTAAGGGCAAGTATATCCCTCAAATTCTTCGACTGCATGACCAGCCGAGACCGCCTGACCTCCCATTTGCTTGGGGGCAGGTAGCCATCAAAGTAGATCTTTCGCCTGTTATATTATTAGGGTGGATCCTTGGAGGGCAAAGACGGGTTTCTTCTGAAGTGCAGAACTTACACTCTCACATCATTGCTTTTTAGTTCGTCGAGATAGCTCTTTACAAATTGACTTAGCAGTAAGTAGGGGGGCTGACAGATGAAGCTGCTATCAGGCTTTCTATGGACCATGAACTCTGTTAACACCCGATGAACGAGTGCGGGCCCGTCAATCACGACGGTTTCGCCGCCCAACGGTGACAGCACTCCATATCGCTGCAGGGCTGGACTGAGACCCCGGATGCCCATGCCTTCGCAGGTGTCCTATATGTTGTTTGCCGTCACCAGATCAATGAGGAACAAGTTGTGGGCTGGTGTGTAGTTCCTTATTAGCCCTATTTTGACGATAATAACACAAACCAGGGGAGAAGCCTCAGCAAAATAGGGGGTACAGACTGTTAGAAGCAGGTGTTTCGTGTAACATCTGATTGACGTGGTAATGGGCCTGAAAGCCGCTGCTATGCGTGTCTCGTTTGATTGGGAATCCCACCGTTGCCCCTGTCAGCCTGTCCTCTTGCGGTCTCACTTGATTTCATTCCAGACGTTGAATTCGTCCCATTCGTCTTCAGAGGCTTGATTTATGCACTTATGCTTGATATGTATATAATACGAACGCAAGTTTTGTGCCAGCTCAAAGCCCAATCACAACCATACCTTACGACGGGACCGGGAGTTTACGGTGGCTTAGGTAATCAAACCCGGGGTTCCACTGTGTCTGCGGGCTTCATCCTCCAGTTTTCAGCTTCCCCCCTCCATACATACCATAGTTGCCCAACGCGGAAGAAGCCGACCACACGGCGGATTGCAAAGCCAATCATGGAGACGCTTTAACCAATCACAGGGTAGAACACAGCAAATTTCGACCGCCAAATTCCTTGCACAGTCATTGACCATCAATTGAGAACGGCAGAATGGGTAGGTTGTATGTACAATCCTTCTCAGGTTGTACGAATCAAACGAACTGAGGCAGTATGTCGCAGGCTGGTAGGTACCTACAAAGGAGCTCCTACAGAGCCCAGAAGGCACCTGCTGTAGCGAAAAGTCCCAGCAGCAGATACACACTGTATCACACGAGGCACGGTGCAACTGATGCTTTCTTCCCCACTCATACTTCGTCCTAACCGTTTTCTAAAGCCCAATTGAAAAAAATAGAAATAATTCCCAGTCCTTCCCTCGCACTTCTCCTACCCGAAAACCTCACAGAATCCAGCCAGTCATGAGAGGCACGCTGGTATTCTCGGGGTCGTCATGCCCGGGTCTCACGAGCAAGATCTGCTCCAACCTGGGCATGACCCCGGCAGAGGCCGACCTCTCCCAGTTCTCCAATGTATGTACGTTCCTCCGAAGCTCCTTCGGTCTGCTGCTTGATTCAACTGCTTCCACTTCGCTTTGGTGGCCGTCCTTCGTACATGTAACATGTTCCGGCATGGGATCGGGAGGCAAAGACAATGAACGATGAGATGCTGATTGTTATAGGGCGAAACCAGTGTCCGTATCTTGACCAGTGTTCGGGATAAAGATGTTTTCGTCGTGCAATCGGG